AAATAAGTACAAAGCCAAAAGTTGGTTCTTTGTTCAATCTTTCAAAAGACTGATAAACAGAACACAAACTACCAACATGCAGAATAAAAGGAGGACTATTGTTACAGACCAAACAAACATAAAAAGAGTAACAATGAATAAATTTGTGCCATTCATTCAAAACAATGAATGAATTTGACAGCTTTGTTAAAAGGACATAGATTACAAACACTGACAAAACAAGACAAAACAATCTGATTAGCCACATAACTCAAAGAAACGGAACTTTATAAAAAATCTCTCCACAAAGAAAACACCAGGCTCAGATGGTCTCAATGGTGAACTCTATCAAATACAGGTGTGCCTCCATGATACTGCGGGTTCAGTACCAGGCCGCTGCAATAAAATGAAGACTGCCATAAAGCAAGTCATATGAAACTTATGGTTTCCTGGTACATATAAAAGTTATGTTTATACCATATTAGGTGTTCAACAGCATTATGTCTAATAAAACAATGTCTATACCTTGAAAATCCTAAGGGTCCTAGGATTTTCAGAATGGTAGATGAGCACTGGATTCAACTTAGTCACCAGCTGCATTAGCCCCTAACAAGAGAGTCAGCCTGTCCTTTCAGGATTTGAAGCCAGGCACTCACTTCTCTTCTCTAGCTATGAAAGTCCTAGTTGATAGCTTCTTTTATTAGAAAGCTGTTTGACCCACATTGAAAATCTGTTGCTTAAAAAATGCAACGATCATCTGAGTTTTCAGAGTCATATTCTTTCTGCTGGTGGATGGTCTTGCCTCGATGTTGATGGCTGCTGACTGATCAGGGTGGTGGTTGGGATAGCTGCAACAATTTCTTAAAATAATATATCAGTGAAGTTTGCTGCATCGATTGATTGACTTTTGCTGCACTGACTGCATTGACTCTAATTTCTATGAAAGATTTCTCTGAAGTATGTGATGCTGTTTGATAGGATTTTATCTAGAGTAGAACTACTTTCAAAATTGGAGTCAACATCTCAAACCCTGCCACTGTCAACTAAGTTTATGTAATATTCTAAATCCTTTTTTGTCATTTCAACAATGCTCACAGCATATTCGCCAGGTGTAGATTCCATTTTAAGAAACCACTTTCTTTGCACATTCACATTTTACCATGAGATTATAGCAATTCAGTCACATCTTTAGACTCTACTTCTGATTCTGGTTCTCTTGTTATTTCCACCACATCTGCAGTTACTTTCTCCACTGAAGTCTTGAACCCCTCACAGTCATCGATGACGGTGGGAATCAACTTTTTCCAAACTCCTGTTAATGTGGACATTTTGACCTCCTCTCATGAATCACTAATGTTCTTCAATGGCATCTGGAATGGTGAATCCTTTCCAGAAGGTTTTCAATTTAGTTTGCCCATATCCATCAGAGGTACCCATAGTACCCAGAGCATTATCAAGTGTATTTCTTAAATAATGATACCTGAACATCAAAATTAATCCTTGATCCATATGCTGCAGAATAAATGCTGTGTTGGCAGGGATGAAAACAACATTAACCTCCTTGTACATCTCCATCAAAGCTCTTGGATGACTAGGTGCATTGTCAATGAGCAGTAATATTCTGAAAGGAGCAGTAGGTCTCAACAGTGGGTTTAAAATATTCAGTATACCACACTGTAAACTGATGTGCTATCATCCAGACTTTGCTCTTTCATGTATACAGCACAGGCAGAGTAGATTTAGTATAATTCTTAAGGGCCCTAAGATTTTCAGAATGGCAAATGAGCACTGGCTTCAACTTAAAGTCACCAGCTAGCTTCAAACTTTTCTTCTTCAGCTTTGTCACCTCTCTCAGCTTTCACAGAATTGAAGAGAGTTTTTTTTTAAATTTTATTGCATTTTAGGTTTTGGGGTACATGTGAAGAACATGCAAGATTGTTGCATAGGTACACACGTGGCAGTGTGATTTGCTGCCTTCCTCCACTTCACCTATATCTGGCATTTCTCCCCATGCTATCTCTCCTCAACTCCCCACCCCACACTGTCCCTCCCCTATTTCCCCCCAACAGACCCCAGTGTGTAGTGCTCCCCTCCCTGTGACCATGTGTTCTCATTGTGTAATACCCACCTATGAGTGAGTACACATGGTGTTTGATTTTCTGCTCTTGTGTCAGTTTGCTAAGAATGATGGTTTCCAGGTTTATCAATGTCCCTACAAAGGACAGGAACTCATCGTTTTTGATGGCTGCAAAATATTCCATGGTGTATATGTGCCACGTTTTCCCTGTCCAGTCTATCATCAATGGGCATCTGGGTTGGTTCCAGGTCTTTGCTATTGTAAACAGTGCTGCAATGAACATTCGTGTGCACGTGTCCTTATAGTAGAACGATTTATAATTCTTTGGCTATATACCCAGTAATGGGATTGCTGGGTCAAATGGAATTTCTATTTCTAGGTCCTTGAGAAATCGCCACACTGTCTTCCACAATGGTTGAACTAATTTACACTCCCACCAACAGTTTAAAAGTGTTCCTATTTCTCCACATCCTCTCCAGCATCTGCTGTCTCCAGGTTTTTTAATGATAACCATTCTAACTGGCATGAGATGGTATCTCAATGTAGTTTTGATTTGCATTTCTCTGATGACCAGTGATGATGAGCATTTTTTCATATGTTTGTTGGCCTCATGTATGTCTTCTTTTGTAAAGTATCTGTTCATATCCTTTGCCCACTTTTGAATGGGCTTGTTTTTTTCTTGTAAATCTGTTTTAGTTCTTTGTAAGTCAGATGGGTAAACTGCAAAATTTTTTTCCCATTCTGTTGGTTGCCGATTCACTCTAATGACTCTTTCTTTTGCCGTGCAGAAGCTGTGGAGTCTGATTAGGTTCCAGTGGTCTATTTTGGCTTTTGTTGCCAATGCTTTTGGTGTTTTGGTCATGAAGAGAGTTTTAAGGGCTTGTTCTGGATTAGGCTTCGGCTTAAGGGAACATTACAGCTGATGTGATCATCTATTTGGACCACTAAAATTATCTCCATATCAGCAATAAGGCTGTTTGGCTTTCTTGCCATTCACGTGTTCACTGGAGTAGCACTGTTAATTTCCTTCAAGAACGTTTCCCTTGCATTTACAACTTAGCTAACTGGCATGGCGGGGTGCCTGGCCTTTGGCCTATGTCATCAGCTTCTGACATCCTCACTAAGCTTAATCATTTCTAGCATTCAGTTTACAGTGAGAGACACGTAACTCTTCCTTTCACTTGAACTCTTAGTGGCCATTGTAGAGTTATTAACTGGCCTAATTTCAATAATGTTGTGTCTCAGTGAATAGGGAGGTCCAAGGAGAGGAAGAGAAACAGGGAACAGCCAGTCAATAGAGTAGTCAGAGCATCCACAACAGGTATGGATTAAGTTTGCTGTATTATGTGGGTACAAGTGACAGTACTCCACAATTTCAATAGTGACATCAAAAATCACTTGTCACAGATCACTTTAATTACATGTCACAGTTTTTAATACATTACTTTTTTTACTATTATATCACTTATAACAGATATAATAGTAAAAAAAATCTGAAACATTACAAGAATTACCAAAATGGGACACAAAGTGAGCACATGCTGTGGCCAACAGACTTGCTAAATGCAGGGCTGCCACAAGCCCTTCAATTTGTAAAAAATAAAATACATGCAAAGCACAAGAAAGTGAAGCACAATAAAATGGGCTGTATTCAATGAAGAAATAATTCCATTCTTATACAAACTTTGGAAATAATTCTAATCTTATACAATCTTATACAAACTTTTTCAGAACACAATAAAAAGTATCACATTTCAATTTAACAGGCCAGCATAAACCTGACACCAAAATGGAACAAAAGCATTGTAAGAAAATTATAGATCAGGCATGGCGGCTCACTCCTGTAATCCCACCACTTTGCGGGGCCAAGACAGGAGGACTGCTTGAGCCCAGGAATTCAAGATCAGCCTAGGAAACACAGCAAGAACCCGTATCTCTACAAAAAATTTAAAAAATGAGCCAGGCATGGTGGCATGTGCCTGAGGCCCAAGCTACTAAGGCAGCTGAGGTGGGAGGCTTGACTGAGTATGGGAGGTCAAGGCTGTAGTGAGCTGAGACTGTGCCATGGCACTGCAGCCTGGATCACAGGGTGAGACCATCTTAAAAAAAAAAAAAAAAAGAAAGAAAAGAGAAGAGAAAGAAAACTATAGACCTATCTCTTCCTCATGAACACAGATGCAAATATCCTTAACAAAAGTAGGGTAGTAATCCATGAACACAAAGTTGGCTTAACCTTCAAAATTCAGTTATTAATAGTATAATTCACCATAGGAACAGAATGAGAAAACTAATGATCATCAATCAATGCAGATAAAGCATTTTACAACCTCAATATCTATTCATAGAAAACCTTTCAGTAAACTAGGAGTTGAAAGAACCTTCTTCAGTTGGATAACAGATACTTATGAAAAACTATCAACATATTTCATAGTGAAATACTGGACATTTTCTCCCTAATACTGGAAATAAGGCTGTCCATTATCCATTTTAATCATTTCTTTCCAAGGATGAAAAGGAAGAATTAAAACGGTTCCTATTTATCAATAAGATTCCATAGAAATCCTAAGGAATCAACAAAATACTATTAGAGGTAGTAAGCTGAGATTTACAAGGCCTCAGGATATAAGATCAGTATATGAAAATCAATTACATTTCTATATAGAAATGAAAAATAAACTTATAAAATTCCATTTATAATAGCAAAAAAACCCACAAAATTTTAAAGATATACATAACCCAAATAATGAAAACAAAATGATACTGAGAAAAAAAAAAAACGAGGAAAACATAAATAAATGGAAAGATATACCATGTTCATTGCCTGGAAGACTCAATACATCTTAAAATGCAAATTCTCCTCAATTTATAGATTCCACACAATCCAAATCATAATCACAGTAGGCTTTTACTTATATAGAGATTAAGAAGATAATTTAGAAAAAAATTTTTTTTTTTTTTTTTTGCTTCAAATAGCTTTATTTCCATTTGGTCCAAGGCTTGTTAGGGTAGTTAGAAAGCTGCCTGGTAACTGGAGGGAGAGGCTTAGGCAGAAGGCCTGTTATTTTGTAAAGGCCCTTCGTAAGTTGCTGGGCTCAGCAGGCTCTTAGTTGTGCTTGAGAGTGAGCCTTTCAAAGAGATACTCGCTCAGCCCAGCCTCTGGGCCGGCCAGCCTGTGGAGGTTGGTCAGGTGGTCACCCATTTTTCTTGATGATTTTCACTTCCTCATCTAGGAAGTGGCTCTCCAGGAAGTCACAGAGATGGGGGTCCGTGAGGGCAGAACCCAGGGCATGAAGATCCAAAAGGGCCTGGTTCAGACTTTTCTCCAGGGCCATGGCGGCTTCATGGCGTCCAGGATTTTACCCCATTCATCTTGAGCCGGCTTCTTGATGTCCTGAAAGAGAGCGCGGCTTCTTGATGTCCTGAAAGAGAGCGCGGCCACCACGCTGGTTTTGCATCTTCAGGAAACGCTCGTAGCCCTCGTGCTTCTCCTTGGCCAATTCACGGAAGAAATGGTTCACGCCTTCCAGAGCCACATCATCGTGGCCAAAATAGTAGCCCAGAGAGAGGTACGTGTAGGAGGCCTGCAGGTACACACTGACCAGGTGGTTGACGGCTGCCTCCATGTCTGTGAAATAATTCTGACGAATCTGGGAGCTCATGGTTGGTTGGCAAAAATGAGCTAACCACAAAAATGATGTTAGCAGGTTCCCAGAAGCAGGAGATGACCAAGACGATGGTCCCGGTGGTTGCAAGTGGAGAGGAAACTGGAGGGTGGTTGGTCAGAGGCTGGAAGAAAGAGTCCCCAGGATCTGTTCCATCCAAACACTGTTGAAGCAAGAGACAGATCCGCGGGACCCCCGAACTACTCGATAATTTTAAATTTTAATGGGAAGGCAAAAGATCTTAGTGAAGCAGTCTTGAATAAAAAAGCAAAGCTGGAAGACATACTGATTTTGTTACTACAAAGCTATAATAGTAATCAAATAAGTGCGTACTCATTTAACGGCAGGCAAACTTACCAGTGGAACAGAAGGGAAGAGTCCATTAAAAAAAAATAAACCATAGTTTTACAATTGACTTTGACAAAAGCATCAAAAATTCAATAGAAAAAGTAAAGACTGTGAAAACTGGCACTGGAACAACCCATACCTCACATCATACAGAAAAAAATATTTCAAACTATTTGTAAAACCTAAACTACAAAGCTTAAAAAAAAAAAAAAACAGGAGATATTTTAATAATCTGTACATGGGCAAATATTTCTTATACAGAGAGGGGGAAAAAAAAACCCCACTAATAATAAAAGACAAATTTAACAGGATTTCATCAAACTTAAAAATCTCTGCTTATCAAAAGATGCCCCTAGGAAAATAAATAGACAAGCTATAGCCTGGAGGAAAGTACACACAACATTTACCTAACAAAGATCATGTACTGAGAATATAAAGAATGTAAACTTGAAAGAGCTAAAAGCATACAACTTGTAAAAATAAATAAATAAATAAATAAATTGGACATTATTAGCCAGGTGAGAGGAATTATACCTGTAGCTCAGCACTTTGGGAGGCCAAGGTGGGCGATCATCTGAGGTCAGGAATTCAAGACTAGCCTGGCCAATATGGCAAAACCCCCTCTCTATCAAAAATACAAAAATTAGCCGGGCATGGCAGCGCAGGCCTGTAGTCCCAACTACTTGGGAGGCTGAGGCGGAAGAATTACCTAAACCTGGGAGGCAGCGGCTGCAGTGAGCCAAGACGGCACCACTGTACTCCAGCCTGGGCAACAGAGTGAGACTTCATCTTAACAGTTCGTCTTAAAATAAGTAGATAAATTAATTAATTTAATTAAATGATAAATCGGACATGACCAAAATGAAAAAATTACATGTTTCAAAGAATAGAGTCAAAAAATCAAAAAGACACACCTGTAATCCCAGCACTTTTGGGAGGCTGAGGCAGGCAAAGCACCTGAGGCCAGGAGTTGAGACCAGCCTGGCCAATGTGGCAAAACTCCGTCTCTACTAAAAATACAAAAAAATTAGCCGGATGTGGCGACACATGCCTGTAGTCCCAGGAGGCTGAGACACAAGAATTGCTTGAGCTGGGGAGGCAAAGGCTGCACAGCCAAGATTGCGCCATTGCACTCCAGCCAGGGCAACAGAGTGAGGCTCTTGATTTAAGAAAAAAAAAAAAAAGGCAAAAAGAGACTATAAGGCCCAGAAATAAATCCGCACATTAACACTCATTGATACAGATGCCAAAAACACACAATGGGGAAAGAACAGTCTCTTGAATAAATGGTGATGGGAAAACTAGATATCCATAGGCAGAATGATATCAGAGCCTCACCTCACACCATACACAAAAATTGTTATGTCAGAAATTATTGTTGGGTGATTTATGTTGCACTATTCTGCTTATTTTAATTTCCAAACTGGCTTAAAAAAAACAAAAGACTTATTTTACAACATTTCCACTACATAGCTAAGCAAAAACCAGAAAGATAAGACAAATTTTTATTTTTCCTCAAGAAAATAGGTTTTCATTTGAAGAAATTTAGACAGAAGTAATAACAGCCAGTTAGGTTTCTTTTGGTAATTTTTAGCAACCTGAAAAAATTTTACATAGGGTATCTTAATGTCCTAGTATTTTCTAAATCACTGATTCTCAGCTTCAAAGGAACAATTAGAAGAGAAAACCATCTGGTCACCTGTTTGCGTAACAGTTCTTCCTGCTTCCGCCTTTCTTCCTCTTCTCTTCTCCTCTCTTCCAGTCTTCTAAGAGCTTCTTCTTGCTGCTGTCTTTCTTCTTCTTCTTGCTGTCGCCTTAATGCAATTTCTTGTTCCCGCTGGCGACGCAGAGCCTCTTCCTAAGGACAAAAGATGGAGGGTGTGGGAGGGACTCAGGTCTATCAATCAATTTACTATGTCATATTTGAACAGGCTATGTGCTGCTAAGGATCCATTAAAAAGTAAATATAGAAGTATATAATCAGGATCCGGAGTAACAATTATACATGTAAGTTGGGGAATAGAACACATTACAATAAAAAGAAAACTGAATTTAGAGTATTAGTAGTTAAATTACAACACACTGTAAGTCTATCCTGGTTTCTATATTAACTAATAATTTACTGATTAACCCTAGAAAGAGCTACATTAGACTTAAACCTTCGGTTTCTCTACCAGTATCTTTAATCCCTGTATTTTAATCAACTGGGAACTTAAGGCATCATGAGGGAAAATCGACACAGCCACCAACAATTTTGGGTAAGATAAGTTCTCCCAGTCAGAAGTACTGAGTAAAAGCCATGTGTCCCAGAACATGTTTTGAAGATCAAAAATCTCACCAATACTATTAAGTATTACACACAAAGAGGACCCATTTTTGAGATGACTCATAGAAAACTGAGCAATATAGAATTAAACATACTTCTTTACTGCAATATTCCTTGGAGCCTCTATATGCTACGGTATGGTGTGATTCTAAGAATTAACAGTAGTTCTAATTACATCTCAGCATGGATCTTTTTTTGTTTTTCAGAGAACACCTCTTGGGGCCAACAAGTAGGAAACAAGTGGTAAAGGCTAGACCATGGGGCTATTAAGGGTGTGGAGTCTTTCAACTGGAGTCTAGGAAAAGGCCAGTGGAAAATGAGCCAAGCACATTAAAAGTGAACTCCCCTCACACACACACACAAAAAGACCAAAAAACATTAAAAATGCTACACTTCCCTGGTTATAAATCCTTAAGCAAAGACAGCAACAACACTTATCTACAACACTTTCATTCAAACACTTATCTAACAGTGACGAACTGGAAACAACGCACATGTCCAACAACAGGGAACTGATTAACTTACTAATTACTTATAAAGTGAAATTTTATATAGCTAGCAAATCATGTAAATTTTTATAATGTAAATTTTTAGATATACATTTGACACGGAAAGATGACATAATTCGTTAATGTCAAAAGGAGGGTTATAAAACAAGTACAAATGATAGACACCTCCAACCTGGGCGACAGAGCAAAACTGCCTCCAAAAAAAAAAAAAAAAAAAAAAAAAGAAGAAGAAAGCAAAGAGAGAATAGAAAGCCCAGAAATAAATCCACACATTTACATTCAATTGATTTTTCACATAGATGCCTGAAACACACAATGGAAAAAATGGGGCAAGATTAGTCTCTTTAATAAATTGTGGTGAGAAAACTGGATATCCATAGGCAGAAGAATGAAATCAGACCCTCATCCCATACCATACACAAACATGGCTATATTTGAAATTACTGCTAGACGATTTGTCTAAATTTCTTCAAATGAAAACCTATTTTCTAGGGGAAAAATAAAATTTGTCTTATCTTTCTGGTTTTTGCTCAGCTATATAGTAGAAAATGTTATAAAGCAAATACACATGCAGAATTTTTTTTTTTTTTTTTGCTCCCTATTTCGAAACACTAGTCATTAAAATAGAAGAGATTCATTAAGGGAAAGAATAAAGAGAAGGCAGAGGTCTTAGTCAAAGATACTTTTTAAAAGTATGTCTGAATGGTCAATAAGCATGTGAAAAGATGCTCAACAACACTAATCATTAAGGCAATGGAAATCAAAACTACAATGAAATACCACTTCACACCCATTTAAACAACCATTATCAAAGAGAAATAAACAAAAACAAACAACGACAACAACAAAAAAGTGTTGGTGAGAACTGGAGACACTAAACCGGCTGTGCATTGCCAGCAGGAATGTAAAGTGGAGTAGCTGCTGTTGGAAACAATCTGGCAGTTCCTCAAAAAAATAAGAGAATTACCATATGATCCAGCAATTCCACTTCTAGGTGTATACACAAAATTTGAGTTGAAAGCAAGGACTCAAACAGGTATCTACATACCCATGTTTACAGCAGCATTATTAACAAGAGCCAAAACTGTGGAAGTCATCCAAATGTCCATCAACAAAGAAATGGATAAACAAAATAGGAATGGATAAACACACAATGTAATATTATTCAAACTTCACAAAGGAAATTCTGATACATGCTACAACATGAATAAAACTTAAATGAAAGAAGCCCATCACAAAAGGACAAACATTGTATAATTCTACTTACATAAGGAATTGAATTAGTTTAAATTCACAGATACAGAAAGAAGAATGGTGGTTACTAGGAGCTATGGGATGGAGGGAGTGGGGCTCTTTGTTTAATGGGTATGCAGTTTCAGTATGCAAAGTTGGAGAAGTTCTAGACATGTTTGTGAGGGCTGCACAGCAATGTGAATGAATATGCTTCACACCACTGAAAGTATATTTAAAATGGTAAATTTTATGTATATGTTAGGACAATTTTCTTAAAGTCCATGTGGCTTTCAGAATTTGACATTTAATGCTGCACATCAGTTACTTTTCTCATTGTTTTTAGCCACAAGGACAGAACTTCTGAAATCTAACTTGTTTATAAAACTCTAGGAAATATGCAAAGAAAATAAAACCCAGTGGTTTACTAGGACTGAAGAATATCCCTAAGTGGGTGTTGGTGGAAAACAGAGATTCTTTTCAAGGTGAATGAGTCTTCTAAGGTTCTAACCCCAATCCTGTGGACTTCATCAAGCACTATCCTACGGTCAGAGTTCCCAGAGATATACCTGTTTCCTTCGAGCAAGTTCTTCTTCCTCTCGCCTTTTCCTTTCCTCTTCCTGCTGTCGCCGAAGAATTTCCTCTTGTTGTCTTCGGAGTTCTTCTTGCCT